TGTCTTTTAAAGGCACTCCAAACGCTTTCAAAATGTTCATGATCGGGAACACATACCCAAGAGACCCTTTTGTCTTCATGAGAATAAGGTTATTGCAAAAGAATTTTGCCCAATTGATTTTGATATCGTTCAAAAACACGAAGAGAAGACGAGTGTCCGAAATAAGTATTTTGGAATGGCTCGACTTACGAGGAGCTAATACTTTCGAAATGAAGTAATGAAGAATTCGAAAATGAGGCTTAAGACCTCCAACGGTTAGGCGTTCTTGCCCAAGAATTTCTTCAAGGCACACCTCGGTAATGGTGTCGTAAGAGGAAAAGTTTTTGAATTCCTTAGATGCAAATTTGTGAAAATCACAACCCTCAAAAGAAAATTTAAAAAGTTCACCGATATCTTTGAGAGTCATCTCAATGTCGGTGCCATTAACGGAGGTTTTGAGGACCCGTCCGTTGAAAGTGAGATTTGTATAAAACAACCGAATTAGATTCGGACAATACACATGAAAATTCTCACGAACAAAAGAAGTAACACCAAGTCTATCAATGAAAATTGTGGCATCTTGGAAAGGTAGATGACAAAATACGGTATGAAGAACGCATTTGGGTGTCAAAATAGGACGATTCAAGAAGTCATTATAGAAGAGGCGTTTAGAATCACCTCTCGGAAAGACAAATGAAGAGACAAATCGTTCCTCTTGGGTAGATGGTTCACCTTCATGAGATTTTGTACGCAAACGTTTACTTCCTCGACGATCCGACATGGTGGCTAGGGTTTGAGCACGAGAAGATTGAGAAACCCTAAGAGAGAAAGGAAAAAGCACTAAATCTCAAGTAAACAATCAAATAAGCAACAATAATTATCAATTAGCAACAATTAACAAGTAATTTGCAAGAAATTGAAGATACGAGGCGACGAACAAACCTGGGAATCGAAGAACCTTGGTCGCTGAAAGAGAGAGACAGAGCAGAAACCAGAGACGATTGAAAAAGTGGTAAAAACGAAGAAGGTAGAGTATATATACCGTAAGTCAGAGTGATCGATCCATCCAAGGAGATCGATCCTCCGTAAAAGAGTACCTGCTCCGTTTAAGTCCAGGTGATCGATCCCTATGCTTGGATCGATCCGCCGAAACAGATCCTGGAACAAAATAAAACCATGGATCGATCCATAATCCTGGATCGGTCCTCCTGACGTTGGGCTGAATACAGATTTGATTATTTTGCCCAGGTGATCGGTCCATTGGGTGGATCGATCTGCCGAAGAAAACCTGTGAAAGAGAAAGGCCCAATGGATCGATCCTATATCCGGGATCGATCCGCCGAAGTTTAATTTGAAAAGGCTTCGGTTTGGGTGATCGATCCAATTGTGGAGATCGATCCCCTTTGTTCCAGTTTTGAAAACTGCCCTGAAACACTGAAAATATAACTTGCAAAAAAGAATTATTGCGCCTCCGACGCTCAAATTAGTACCATCAATACAAAGAATGAATTAATTCATAGAGATATCCAAAATGCCAAGTTCGTTCCGAATGTGGAAGAAACTCTCCCTACTAAGGGGTTTCGTGAAAATGTCGGCCAATTGATGTTTCGTTTCAACAAACTCAATTGTGACATCTCCCTTTTGGACATGATCTCGTATGAAGTGATGCCTAATTTCTATGTGTTTAGTCCGCGAGTGAAGAACGGGGTTCTTCATTAGACTAATTGCACTCATATTGTCACACCTAATTGGGATGTGATCAAGTATAAAGCCGAAATCCACTAATTGCTGTTTTAGCCAAAGAATTTGGGCACAACAACTTCCCGCAGCGACATATTCCGCTTCGGTGGTGGAGAGTGCAACACTAACCTGTTTCTTACTAAACCACGAGATTAACGAATGACCGAATAAGTGGCAAGTACCGCTGGTACTTTTCCTATCGAGTTTGCAACCTGCAAAATCCGAGTCGGAACAGCCAACAAGATGACATGTCGAACCTTTGGGATACCAAAGACCTACGTTCAACGTGCCCGCGAGATATCGCATTATCCTTTTGATCGCAACCAAGTGCGACTCTTTAGGACAAGATTGATACCTAGCGCATATACAAACGGAGTACATGATATCCGGTCTACTCGCGGTAAGATAAAGTAAAGAGCCAATCATACCTCGGTAGCGTTTGATGTCTACCTCTTTACCTTTTTC